CTGGATTAAACAGACCTAGTTGGAGTTGCAATGTTTCCAGCAGCACTCAATACACGTTCAGACTTTCTATCGCAGTGCTTGTAGCGCAAATGCACAAATGCTTTTTCCTATGCTACATTTCTCGTCAATGTCTTCCATTTATCACTTTCTCTTTTGTATCTGGCCATTTTTAAATAGGGCTCTGCGATATCTGGCTGACAAAAAAATCAAAAAATAAATTTTAATTTTTATAATTTTATATATTTTTATTTTATTTTTTGTGCTCATAATATTGACCTTTGCAGTTTTTACCTTTTTATTATTCAGCTAAACTAAAAAACGGAAGAATTTCTCCAGTGGAAAAATATAATAGGGAATATTATAAAAACATTGCTTGCCTTTTTTTTAAATTAAGAAAAGTCTTTACATGGAAAGGTCATATTAATTTCAGTAGTCCACAATGATTCAAAGCAGCTACTGAAAGTTATACTCGCATATGTTGCTGTTAAATCATGTAGTTGTGTGATGTATAACCATGGTGTAAGTGCACACCTAAGGATTAACCTTTTTTCCAAGAAAGAGACTTTTAAACGATATTGATGAACAGTTGATATGATCTATTAAAAGTCAGTGATGCTAACAGTTAATCATCTTGTTTGCTTTCAGGCTCTAGCACTGGCAGAACAACCTACATGAGAAGACCATGGACAAAAGCAGACGTGAAGGCTGTAATGAGTTCAAAAGACTGATTATTATTATAAACATTTTCATTTTTTTTTCCTTGTCACAGAGTGACAATATTTAACCATTTTCAAACATGTAAATTAAAAAAAAAAAAAAACATGGCCCAGGCCCACTTCTGTTCCATGCCAGAGCTTCACAGTCCATCATCACTCTAGGGCAGTCTCTACATTGCTCTACAGTTTGCCTCACCTTCTCAACCCATGTCTGCCACTACTCCACAGTCTGGTACTGCTCCACAGTCCAGGTCCATGTCTGCTTCATGAGCCTGGGCAATACCCATCACACAAAAATACATAACCCACAAATGCAGTCTCTCAGACTGAACATTTACAACAGTGTTGAGTAGCAAAAAGACATGTTTTTTGTTTTTTATTTACATGTTTGAAAATGGTCAAATATTGTCACTGTGACAAAAAAGTGAAAATGTGTATGATATTAATTAGTCACATTATAACACATTATATTACTGTCACATTACGAAATTTAGTTTTTAATCTGTTTTGTGTTCATATAATTCTGTATGTATCATTCAATTTGTGGAATCAAACTTTTATGTCTAGTTTTATCTTTTTTTCTTTTTATCTATCTTTTTATCTATTTTTATCCATCTATTTTTTGTTCTTGTCAGAGCGATAATAGTTGATGCATTTCATAATAAAATGTATATACATGTTTAGTTCCCCTGCTGTTTTCCTGGACTTCAAAAATAAAATAAAGTTTTTTTTTTTTTTTTTCTGTCATTGAGTGGCAATGTTTTGTATTTGACAGTATTATAGTGCCCTACCATGTTGTGTTCTAGTATAAATATTTAAATTTGAAAAAGAATAATCTGTTGAACGACTTAATTAAATTTTAAAATACCATTAGTTTGTTTATAAGCTGTAATCATTCATTCAATCATTTTCTTTTCGGCTTAACCCCTTTATTTATCAGGGGTTTCCACAGTGAAATGAACCACCAACTTATCCAGAATATGTTTTACGTTGCGGTTGTTCTTCCAGCTGCAACCCATCACTGGAAAACACCCATACACACTCATTCACACACACTACGGACAATTTAGTGTATTCAATCCCCTGTACCGCTTGTCTTTGGACTGTGGGGGACACCGGAGCACCCGGAGGAAACCCACTCCAACACAAAGAACATGCAAACTCCACACAGAGTTCACAGAGGGGAACATTTGTGTTCTGGCCAAGTGAAAGAATAAAATAATGAACATGTTATCGTACAGTTGTGCTTCTGGTTGTTCATGGTTGAAGGTTCTTTGCCAATTATGTTCTTTTTTTTATCTGAAGTTGCCTTTCAAAATATCTACTGTCCTATAAAATAAGAGCAAAGGCCCTTAAACAATTAACTCTTCATACTTTAATGTTAAAATGCTGTCTTTTTCAGGTTATTGTTCAACAGTACATTAAACAGATTGTTTAACTGATACAACACAATAAGCCTACAGAATTGTTAAATCAAAAGTGTATTATAAACAAAATAGGATTTTGTCATTTAAGAAGTGACAGGCAGAACCTTAGCAACTGAGATGGGTTTAGCAGGGGTCTAGCTGAGGAAAGCCAGAGTCTGTTCTGTTGTCACCCTTACTGCAATAGCAGAATAGTGTGATATGTAAAATGTGTTAATCAGTCCTCTTAAACCATGAAGGGGCTAGGTTTGTGTGTAACATGTAAACAGACCTTGTAAACCATGATTTTGTCTGGCCCCATAAGCCTGTGAAATGTCACATAGTTAATTTGAGTGTGTTGTGAAACTAAAATTGCTGTTTTTAAGCGTTGTTTGCCTTTTGGAGTTCAAATAAAATTTTTTGGCACAAGTTTTATGTTCGTAGGATGTTGGCAAAGGTTTGTCCCCGTAAACCACCAAAAAGTCACATTGACCTCATAAACCATGTATGCCTGTATGTGTGTGTGTGTGTGTGTGTGTGTGTGTGTGTGTGTGTGATACGCATGTAGAATGTTAAAATCATGATGCTGTGCTGTGTTGAGTATTGTTTGCGTCACAGTATTTTGTGTGTGTGTGTTTGTGTGTGTGTGTGTGTGTGTGTGTGTGTGCCTGTGTGTGTAATTGTGAGACAAGCTGATGTTTGATTGTCGGTTTCAGTCTCTCTGGAAGACAGAAGTCTCCCAAGAGAGACAGCCAGATGGAAAGAAAGAAAAACACAAATGACAAGAAAGAGCACAGAAAAAAGGAGAAAGACAGTCAAATGTGCTGAAAGCGGAGAACGGTAATGAAAACGGAGAGGCCAGAATGGGAGAAAGGTATTTGTATGGTAATGCAAAGAGGCTGGTTGTTTTCTTATCTGGGTTGTGACGGCTGTTCTTCATACCATTTTGACAACATCTCCAACCAACTGAACAACACTAAGCTTTTAAAGAGGCACTTCGCCTGACACACTCGTTTATGTCCTGATGCCACAGAGGGCATGAAATTTAAAACAGGAAGCAATTGGAAGAGATCTATTGAGGTGTCAAGTAGTGTTCTGAAAGCATCTTTCAACAAGTCAGTGTTCATTTAGCTCCACTTGACCCTACACTCTAGGAACAAAAGAATGATGTGCTCTTGGTCATTGAGGCAGAATCGATTTCAAAAAGTATACTTTTGTTCTTATTAGGTATTAATACGTACCTTGAAGGCATTTTATAGTTATTTTGAAAGTGCAAACAACAATTTCATGAACTAGTTTTAGGAATATGGATACAGCTAAAGACTAAACTCTTACATATGCAGCATGCTATTTAAAATGTACCTTAATAACAACAATTTGTGTTACACTGAGCCTTGTCTTATGAACATGCAGGTTATTATAACATTGGTGTGATTGGTATGATATATACAGGTAATAATATATAATATTTTTATTAAGCAAAGATGCACTGTGAAAACAATTATAATGTCAAAAACAAACAAATATGTTTCAATTTTAAAAAATGCTGTCCTTTTAAACTATCTATTCTAGAATTGTGGAGTAAATATTCATGAGACTGATCATAATACACAATAGAAAAGTACTAGAAAGGCATATTAGAATGATTTCTAAAGAATATCTTCTCAAAATTTAGCTTTGTTTAACACAGGATACAATAAAATATGTAAATGCAGCAAACTATTATTTGAAACTGTAATAAAATTAAAATATATTACTGTTTTAAGTGCGTTTCTGATTAAATAAATGCAGCCTTGCAGAAAAAAGCTTCATTAAAAAAACAATAAATCTTATACCTTTTACCAGTAACATTTGAAAAAAAAATACAAAACTAGAAGATGAAGAAAATAAAATAGAATAAGAAAAATTATTTAAAGAAACTTTTATGTAATTAATCTATTTTCTGCCATAGGAACACCTTGTAACAAAACTGCAAATGTTAAATATTTTAAATTTAATTCATCACATATATATATATATATATACAACAGTTCTGTCTGGTTCTCAAATCTGATTGGCTGATAGCCCTGCGATATTCTGCAATATCAGAACTCCTACAGCCTCTTTACCCTTTGTGTATTACTCTGCCCACATACAGCCAGCAAAAAGCAGACACTACAGATTTAAAGTTTAAAAGATGCATGCTCAGCTGTTTAACTGTCAGCTTATGATTTGAATGTGGAATGTGGAAGAAAAGTAGTTCCACATACAAAAGGGTTTTTGAGACTCTCCGTGTTTGATGTTGTTTTTATATACACAATTATGCCATCAAACTGTTGTATAAATGCAATATCACACTCGTAGCAGTGCGATATGGCTGTATTTGGCACTGATGGGTGCACTAAGGCACTCGGCCTGCTGCCTCGTGCCATTTCGCACGCCTCCCACCAGTGCCAATATACAGCCATATCGCACTGCTACTCGTGTGAGATATATATATATATATATATATATATATACACAACAGTTCTGTCAGGTTCTCAAATCTGATTGGCTGATAGCCGTGCAATATTCTGCAATATCAGAACTCCCACCAGTCTGTGCTTGTTACCATAAAAATTGATGCCACTGTCTATGAGATAATGAGGTAAACTACAACTACCATCTTAAAACAGTGTGTGGCAGCTGTTTTGCCTGCCCTAAGAGAACTATTGGTTTCCATTTAATATGAAAATAATCCTCTCAAAGAGAGAAAAAATTGTTGTTATGGTTATGCAAGGTACTGTCAACTGAAGTTTAAACTGTTTAAGTGTTAAAACTATAAATTTAAACTATCAATATTACTATTAAATTAGAATTTGTTCTCAGAAATCAGAACAAGGCACTGGATGTTAGAGGGCACCTGATCTTGAGGGTCAATCATTAAAGGCCAGCGGCGTCCTCGCATCACAAGAATTCCATTCTCTGTGGAGACATTATCCCGAGGCAACCCTTCGGCATTCCACTGTCGGATCTCATATGGATCTCCTAGAATGCCAATAAGACTGAAGTTGTCACTGATTGGGATCCCCAAACTTTGACAGCGTGTAATCCAGTGATCTATAAGCTACAGGAGACAGAAAAATGTTCATTAAACACATGCACATTTCCCAAAAACAAGTGTTAGCATAAAGCAGTGGTTCTTAAATCTAGTCCTCATTACCCACTGCTCTGCACATTTTCTGTTTCTCTTACTATTACTTTCTGTTTCTATTATTTTAGACATTTGTTATTTTTCGCCAATACAGTAAGTGTGATGCAAAGTGGATTCCACTGGATATTCTGCGATTACTCTAGCTCAAAGGGAGTGTTTATGTTTCCTCCAAATAGCATTTTGTAATGTAGCATTTAAATAATATTTATTTACAGGGGTATAAATTAGGCACAAACAGAGGTACAGTATATTCTGTCACACTTCTCATTTACTTAGTAAGTGTCGTATGTGTGTGAAGTCACTACAGGCAGTGGGTTTGCACAAATTCATGAATGAATACTCTAAAGAGAAGTACAAATTAAAGTACAGAAGTGCAGTAGGAAGCAATAAAGACTAAATTGTTTTAATAAAGAGATAATTGACTTAATGACACCATTGACTTGCATAATAGGAAAAACGAATTATATGGAAGTCAATGCCCACAGGTTTCTCACATTCTCCAATACATCTTCGTTTAGAACAAGTCAAGGGTGAGTAAACTGTTTTGTAATACATTTTGGGACAACTATGCCTTTAAAGTTGAAATATGTCAATCAAAATGTACTCTTCTTATTTTTATATGTATGTAGTAGTACTTATTACTAACAATGTACAGCATCTGTGCACTTCATCATTTTGTAAAAATGCATTTGCCCTCAGAAACTTTAATCATGTACAATAACTTTCTCTACAATCTAAAAGAACGTTTTCTTTTAGTCATGCCTTGAGGGCAGGCTATCAGCCAGGGCATGTCTGTTTTACATTTGTTATTAAAACTCATCTTCCAACAATCCAATCGGTTCCCAAAGGACAAAATCATGCACTGTCCTAATTTATTTTTCTTTTCTTCTTTTTAATTTCAGGACAGTTTTAAGTGGATGTACCATGTTTCAAATGGATAGATCAAAAAAGGGCAATCTTACCTTCTGTTTTATGGTGACTTTAAATAGGACAGACTTGAACAATATGCAGGGTGATGGGGTGCGAGGCTAAAAAGGGAGACTATTTTTGATGTGTCATAGGGCGGCCAACTGAAATAATAACTAGATAATGTAATATACTCAAGTGTTTTTTTTTATATTTATTTAATATACATAATGAAGATTGTGATTTAATAATACACTACCAGTTGTCTGTAATGGGAGGTAAAGGCCCCATAATAAGCCACACAAGCTGCAGCGATGAACACATTTCCAATGACGTTGTGGATCTCCTGCTCAAACAGAGTAATGCTTTCTTGCCATCGCACCTGCTCATCACCCAGAGCAGATGTTAACTTTCCTGACCGTCCCAGACGTGCTTCAGTCAAAGCCATGGTTTTGGCTACAATCACAAAACAAACACACATAAACTTATACACATAAGTATAAACATGCGTGAAAGTAGAAGGCCAAAAAGTATGCAGTTTGCAACATTAAAAACAGCTCACTGTATAACTGTAAAAAATGTGTAGACTTTAGTCATTGACGTGTCAATTTTACACATAAATATTTAGTTTATACATCCCTAATTAACATAAATGAAAATATATATCTAGAAAGTTGCACATACATAATTCCACAACTGTGCTCAGATTCATAGAGCACAGCAGAGATGCTGGATTTTTATTGACTAAACTAGAAGATAGCATCATCTCAAGATAGTGTAAGACCGACATGTAAAGCCACCAATCACGATCAGAGTTGTTAATAATAATAATAATAATAATGCATTTTATTTAAAGGCGCCTTTCATGAAACTCAAGGTCACTGTACAGGACAGCTAAAACAATCAATTCAAATAAAAACACAATAAACAATAGAATACAATACAAGCTTTAAAATGCAATCGGGTCAAAGAGAGTAGGCTGTTCTAAACAGATGTGTTTTGAGTCTGGACTTAAATTGTGAAAGAGTGTCTAAATTACGGAGATCAGGAGGGAGTGAATTCCAAAGCTGAGAAGCAGAGTGGCTGAAGGATCTGCTCCCCATGGTGACAAGGCGGACAGAGGGAACAGTGAGGTGAATGGAAGAAGACCCGAGTGTTCGAGAAGGTGTGAAGAATAGTTTTTTTAGGGAGGCCAAACAGAAGGGAATTACAGTAATCTAAACGGGATGTGACTAAACTATGAACAAGAATGGCAGCTGAATGAGGTGTGAGGGAAGGACGTAAACGATTTATATTTCGAAGGTGGAAATAGGCGGACCGGGTGACATTGGGTGACAGGTGCAGTGAATGAAAGGGTGCTGTCGAAGATGACTCTTAACCTGAGGGGAGGGGGTAATGACAGAATCATCAGTGGAAATGGAAAAACTATGTGATTTATTTAAAGTGGATCGTGTACCTAAGTAAAAGTTCAGTTTTAAAGTCATTTAATTTCAAAAAGTTTGTGGTGAACCAGGATTTGATGTCTGCAAAGCAATTAGTAAGGGATGAAGGTGGGAGTTTGTTGTTGGCTTTGGTTAGGAAAATGCAAAAATATCCCTATAAAATGTCATATTTTTTTATATTTTAATTAGACAGAACAAAGTATACAAAATTGAGTTCTGTTAATCAGTCAATTTTCTGAAGTGGTATTTGTACTGTGTTTATAATTTGGCCAGTGAACAATTATTAAAATGCATTTTCTACAAAAGTATGGTATTCATCATCACGATAATTTGTGGACTGCTAAATTGCTTGGAATTCCTTAGGGTAATTCAACTCGTTCACAGTTCTCCATAGAATGAAGCAGAATCCCTGAAAAATAATTCACAGTACTGTAGGTTCCCTTGGGATTTTTCCAATGGGGTTTTATGATGGAGTTTTCAATTAATGAGAAATATACGTTCTGTGGTAATCAAAACTCAATGAAACTTCAATGTATTTTTTACACTTCAAATAATATTTGCTAGTTAAACATTAGATATGTATATATGTTTTATAAAATAAACATAATGGTTTTGAAAGATTGTTTATTTTAGTTCAATTGCATCTCCACTGAATGAACCTCGGATAATAATGTAATCTCTGAGCAAGTTGGGGTTGTTATCCTACAAACGTGATGACCTATACATGAACCCCTACAAACAGATGGGTGTGAATTAAATGACCCTTTTACGATTTCAAAGGGTATTAACTAAGCAACAGATGAAGCTGATAAAAGCAACACAGGCTCATTGGAAATACATGCTTCAGCCTACATTTTTGTGAAGCCACAAAAACATTCTTACATGTATGCATTTGACTGCAGATTCTAGTTAAAATGAATGTTACAGGGCAGTATGGCACTAACAACATTAGTTACTTGTCACACTAATGATTACTACAGAGGCATATGGATCCTTTTGTTATGATATGTTTAACAGTCATCACCGGTCATCATAATCTTATATCCTTAAATCAAATTACAAAAAAACTATTTATCGCTTATGCCGAGTTCAGACTGCAAGATTTTAGCCCCGATTTGACTCATCGACAGGTTTTGAGAAATCGCTGACAAATCGGTGCTTGTTCACACGAGTAACAATCAGACCGTATTAACTATCAAAGACAAGATCTGAGAGAATCACAGATGAGTCGCCGATGCCCGCAAGATATTGACATGCTAAATATCTGCGATTCAAATCATGCTGTGCGAAATGCAACCCGGGCTCATTGTGGAAACGTAGTCCCGCGGACATTTCTGCGGACCGCGATTTACGTCCCGGGAGGTACGTATTCGAGCGTTTTTTTTGTTTTCGCGGATCCGCGAGAGGCCGCTGTGCTCGCTTTTTCGCGTCTCGGGCGGGCGCCTCTCGGGAGCGCGCGGCGTTCGCGCCCGCGCCGTTCTCGCGCGAAAAGCCGCCCGATCGGAAAAAAAATAAAAAATAAAAACAAAAGCCCTCGTCTTCGATTTCGACCGCTTTTTCATATCCCGTCACGTTCTCGCCCTTATTTTTCGGATTCCGTTTTTCGTCTCACCTGATTTCCGGAACCTGCTGTTCCCCGGACTCGATCCCGGTCGTCGTCCACCGCGGCCGGCTCCGGCTCCTCCTCCTCGTCCGGGGCCTCCGCTCCGCCGACGCAACGCTGTGAGCTAGGCGGACAAACTGATTGCGTCGGGAAAGCCTTCCACTCGGAGGCGAGCCGTCGGCCGGCGAGCACGAAGAGGAGGGGCGGAGCGGCGCCACACCGCCCCGCAGTGTTCGCTCGAAAAAACCAAACTGCGGCCTTTACGTACCTCCGGCCACGTAAATCGCGGTCTCCAGAAACGTCCGCAGGGCTACGTTTCCAGAATGAGCTAGGGTTGGCGAAATGAGTTTTGACTGAAAATAAAATCAATCACCGACAGCCAATGAGAGAGCAGCATCCACTAGCATGGGTATCTACAGGCCAGCGGGAGGTAGGAATTTAAAAATGCTCATTTTCAGTCTATTTAGACACAAGAAATAGAGGAAATTTGGCAGGAGCACCCGTGTCTGTTTGACGTGTCATCTAAGCAACATCACAACTGGGTCAAAAGAGATATAAAGTTGATGTGAAATTAGTAATTCCCTTTAAACCCAGGTGAGCAAATATTTTCTACCCCATTAAAGCTTCTTTTGCATTATGTAATTAATAGCCAAAGATATACTACGTGTTTTTGGTTGTGAGATATAGTTTTGTTGGCGATTCTTCCTATTGTAAAGTCATGCGGGATGAACTCCCTGTCGCCAATCCATCTTGCAGTGTGAACAAAGCAGCGACGAAACGCTCTCTCAGATAGTCACGCAGTGTGAAAACATCTGTGACACGACTACTTTGAAAATCATGCAGTCTGAACTCGCCAATATGCGAGGTGTGTGTAATGCAGCGTCTATGGGGCTGAGAGTAAATTTGACATTGTTCTCTCCTCTGTGCTCAACCATGATGACTTCCGCTACTGAGAAATCTGGAATTGTTAAAAGGTCTTTTATTAACAAATAAAGGATTGTTTGTATGCAGTTCTTTGCACAACATCAAATAAATACTACAAAACAACTTAAGGCTGTTTATGATTTGTAATCAAATATGACGATCTCCATATGAAAAACTTTTCTAGTGTGATAAGTTTGCTCAGTAGCTCAGTTTGTATGGTGTTGTACTTGTGATGCAGAGTGCTCGGGTTCAAATACAAATGAAGTACAGTTTTACAAAAGAGATAAAATCAATGTAAAATGTGCAACCAAAAGCACCCAAACCAATGTATTTTAAATTTTGCAAAACTGTAGGATCAGGCATCCCAGCTAACAAAATTCATGTGGCTCAAATCTGGTCCACACCAGACATTTACATCCGGCCCACATACCGCAAGGAATGATGGCACTTGGGTGGTCCACTCCTGTTTGCTAGATTTGGGCCACAAATAAGCCAAAGCATTACCACATATTAGCCAGAATTCAACCAAATTAACCAGAACTGACCCTATTCTGGGCGACAATTTGCTTTTATTCTGCCCCAGATCTGGCCTATACCTTACACTTGCTGGGTGTAGCAAAGTACAAAAATTCCAGCATGCTTTTCAGTATGACTACATTCTATAGCTTATTGATGCCCCAGTTTTCATTATTTGCTTTTGATTCTGCTGTTTATGCTGATGTTGTTGATTTAGTCACTTTTAGTCTCCTGTTTGTGATGTTTGTGAGTTTTGTTCATTTTGTTAATTGCCACCGTTGTTGAGGTTCATACTCTGATTATTGATGTTTCTGTGAGCAGAAGTTGAACCATAGATCTTTTTTAGCCAATAATCTTTCATAATTCTGTGGCATGTGCAAGCATGTTATTACGTTACTTCTAATAATGGATTAAACATTGGTTAACTTCAATGAACTATATTATTTCATCACAGGTTGTGCCTCACTTAATTTGATTTTATTGTTTTTTTTTTTTTTAACTTGGCTTGTTTGCTGTAATGAATAAACTTTTCAAGCAAAGTTTTTAAAAGTTACAGCACCCCAAAAAATTAATTTGCATTAAATGACCCTGTAGCGAGTATATCGATGCCATGTCGCCCTGGACCAAGATTCACCCCAGCTGGCACCTAATCAGCACCGGATCGCTCACAGCTGGAGCTCATCAGCCAGAGAGGCATAAAAGCCAGCCACACACAGGAGGAAGACAAGCTTTATTCTCAGATGACTCCCTGCGCTAATGCTTGTGTCTCTCTGTCTCTCCCACAGTGGACTACAGTTCATGACGATCCAGCACCCGAACTTTCACTATCCTTCACCTTCTCCCCGGAGCACCAGAGCACCTTTACCAAGAAGAGCACCGTATTTCACCACTTTCACTTTGTAAATAAAGCACCCTCCGGGGACTTGTTAGTAACTAAACGCGACTGTGTATGTGTTTTCCCTCTGCCTAGCTACAGCCCATATATGAATTTGAATCTTTGGCCTCTCTTTGCCATTGCACAGGTGGGCCACTTCAGGCTCACATTCATTTTGTCTGGGCCGAAGGAATGCCATCAGTGCTGCATAACTGCCTAAAGTGACCCACATTCGTATGCTATCTGTGATCTGCATTGCCTATAGAAAATCATTATACCACTTTAAAATAATTACTTAATTTGCCATTCTGTCTTAAATAAAATCCTATTCTAAATAACTTTTACAGATGTTGAAATATTTCTGTAGCCTTCTCCTAACCCGTCTTCAACTTTATTCTGAAGGTCATTTGAAAGTAGGGTGTAAAGAAATAGATTTTCACAGGGTATGATGATTTTTCTAAAAGCACTGTATTTCCAATAGAATAGGCTAGATAAAAGGCACCTGCTGAATAAACACGGAATGTTTTTTTTTTTTTTTTTTTTGTAGCTGATATAAAATAGTGTCACAACAACTGTGGACATCCTTGCTTTACTATCCTTACATGAATTTATATATTAGAAAAATGTATAAAACCATTCAACGATCGTTAAGCCAAAATCAATTTTCAGTTTCAAAATTACATTTCAAAATTCAATGAATGTTAAACTTTTGCCAAGCTTTTACCAACTCCATAGGGATATCGTGAGGCAATCAAATGCAGATTATTCTTCCGAGTTTTGACAATTCCCTTGACCACTCTATTCAAGGTCTATTACTGATAACAGCAAGTGGGAATTTATGATGGAAATACAAAAAGTATACAGCAGTAACTGCACATTTGGGAGATTGCCTTATGTCTGTAACACACAAGTGTGATTAAAAGCCTGTACATAAACCAGATGCCAGATGGAAACATTACAACTGCTATTACAAAGTTACAACAAGATAGATGACAATGAAGTGAAGGGATGGACCCTCTATTTGATGGCCTTCTTGGATAATGGGGTAGTTCATATCTATTTTTGCTATACTCTTGTGCCTTTTTGGATGATGAGTTGCCTCCTGCAAGCAACAGCAGATAAACGAAGTAATGGAATTTAAGCTGACATCTCTGCCTGGTTACTAGAAGCTGGACTGTAAATAAATATGTGGGATACTTGGTATTTAAAATCTTACGCTGTGCTGTTTTGGGAACTTGTGTTTTTAGAAGCATTAAAGAGGTAATTTAATGTTATTTCATGCATTCATTTAACTACACTGACAGATAGTTAGACTCTGATGCTCAACCATGGGTCACGTTTTAAAAAATTATTTGGAGGTAAAACAGAGTATTTATTTTCCCCAAAGAGCATTTTTCATAAAAATCATACCTGGCTCTTTGTTATGTAACCAAAGTTGAAAATACTTTTATGGGCGATTATGGAAAATAGTGTGTGACCAGTCCGAGTGCGAGACTATGCCTATAACTTCACAACACTGCTACACAAGATTTAGCTGAGAAAAAAAGTGTGGATTGCAGGGAAAGCTAATCTTTTCATAAATTAATTAAATCATTCATTCATTCATTCATTTTCCTTCTGGTTAGTCCCTTATTTATCAGGGGCAACCACAGCGAAATAAACCGCCAACTATTTTAATGCAAATAAGCTGGTTCTCCCCGCACACCGTTCCCATGTGTGTGTCAGAGCTACAGAGATCTGTAGCCTTCACATACAGTAGATAAACAGCACAGTAACAGACACGAAAGAAGCAGATCTCCATTACTACAATAAGAACCTTCCCAAGTGTTGTTTGATGTATTTGTTGTAGAGTTAATACAAGCCTTTCTGCAACGAGTCACACACAATAGCACAGTTTAGCTTTGCACTATTCTTGCACAGAAAATGTAAAAGGGTACACATTAATATACATTGTTTTATGGATTTCTGTTATGTTAATGTACGAAATAAACCTGATCTAATGTCCATGAACCTGATTTAATGTCTTTTACAATTGTACTGACACAATGTGGCTGTGATGAATTACGTAGCTGAGATCTTTTAATCCCAGTTGCTTTGCACACGTCCTTTCTTGTGGACATGATTATACGCATTACTAAGAACAAATGTTATTACGCGCCTGTCAATCAATTTGGTGGGTGGGGAAAACCACACTCCCACGTCATGGTGGACCTCAAAATGGGAGGGATTTGGATTCTATTTTAATGTCAGGAAATTTAAAAAGAGAGACTAATTACGCTTCTATCACTCCAATATGACTGTAGACACACTATACCTACACACAGTTCTGTTCAAACAGATTACAAATGTTTATTTTCAATATGGGCTCCCTTTAAATACTTCAGCTGAACCCCCTTTGTGAGTTATTTAGAATGCATCAGTTATATTTCATGGTGACCACTGTTTTTATGACATTATCCAGTCCTATGCATAGCAATGGCGATTAGAGCTACTGAATTTACAACACATCAGTTCAACAGCTTGAAAGTAAGTGTCTGTTAAACAGGGAGAAGAATAATAGTTACCTAAACAGCGTGCACAGTCTGTTATGAATAACTCAAATTGTGAGAGTGTGTGTAAAATGATTCTTATTGCTATCTTCCATATACATCAGCATGCATTTTACAAAGCACAAATGTTTTGTTTGTTTTGCTAGTAAATCTGTGTATTAAAATGTCAGATAGCTATTTATGCTTTATTTGATTGAAAAGACTGATAAGTTTCAATGTTTTTTCTGAAATAATCATTTTAAAAGTATTAAAAAACTACATTCTTTTTAGAGAAAAGATGGATGTAGTACTACTCTACACTAAAGAATAATAAGAGTTTGGGCAAATTGAGTAATTGAGTTTTCATTATTCTCATACTGAGGATAACATAACCGTGAGCTGCAAAGCTGAACTTATCTGCTATGTTTCTTTTAAGTAACGATGAGGAAGTACATGGTGTTTCTCAAATCTCTGCATCCAGGAATTGGGAAATGTGCCAGCCACTTCAGCAGACACAGAGATACAAGTAGTTGTGATTTCTATGTTCGTTCTTCTCCTTCATCTCCACTGAGGCTTTAGTAGCAGTAGACCTTATTAATAAAAGACTCTTCATCTCCAGGCTGGACTCCTTATCTTCATTATTATTTGACTCCACACCAGCATCCCCCCTAATTCAACAAATGAACACTAAAGCTAGGGCTTAATGGATAGAGAGCTGGACTCGTAATCTAAACGTTGCATGTTTGAGTCCTGGCATTAGTATTGTTTGTGTGTGTTAAAAGTGTCTGCTACATTGGATTAATTTTTTTTTTTTTTTGTCTATAAAGATACGTAATTCCTCCAGCACTCTGTAATGACAGCCTTATTTGTCAAAGGCATAAATCAGATTCACTCAGCTTTTAACAATTACGCAAAATGCCTATTTTCCATTCCTCAACTTTAGTTAGCTTTTTCTAGACGTCTTTGGCCCCAAAACAATTTGTTGTTTTCTGTTTTTGCAGTATTATCATTTAGAGCCCTAGTGATGCAAATTTGACTAAATTCAATAATTATGCAGTAATGGAAACTTATTTTTTACTGTCTCTCTCTCTCTCTCTCTTACCCAGTGTCTCTTTCTCAGCCATGCTGGACTCAAACTGGTCCTGCAAAACTTTGATTTGATTCTCCACCTCTTGAAGTTTATTCTGCTTCTCTTTTAAAGTGGACATTGTTGCATCCAACTCAACCTAAAAGAACAAATTCAATGAATAACGGCAACAACAATACACAGTAAACATCCTTATGCAAACATAATTTGATAGTGGCTCACCTGAGCAGCAGCCAGCTTTTCTCGTTTAGGTCCGACCTCTTTCAGAACTCTTGAGTACAGGTCCATGGCTCTCACCCACATGCACATGGACTTGCATGCCTTGGACACTTTTTCCACCTTTTCAGGCACAAAGTCTGGATTGCTAATGTATTTGTGTAGCTTCTGGAGGATCTGAGGTTTGATATTGTCTTTGTCATAGTCCATGAGTTTTTTCAAGAAGTTGCCATCTCCCAGGAGCTGCTTTGCACTGGCCCAGTCTGTCCTAGTTTGAGAAATACAAAGAAATTATGGTAGCAAATCAATCAATAGATGTCTTTCACTCAAAGCATGGATAGCCAGTTTGAATATGACATGCAGAATCAAATGACTTGATAATGGCACAGTATATGTTATGAATTTTATTTTATTTTTTTTTCCAGAGTTTGCCATTCATATGGCCATATTTTCTGTGAACGAAGCATGGATGAATGTGCTGTTTCATGAAAGAAGACAAAACACAGTAAAGCCAGGGTTAGACAATGCACTGGACAACACAATATTTTTGGTGTGTAACAATAGCGAAAGTGTCATATTATTTGATTATGTGATTCCTAAATTGCTGTAGTGTCTTGGACGAGTAACGTCAGGCTATACATTTATTTCTGACTAGTCATTACATGATATATTTTACAATACTGATATCACAGAGAAGGCAAATTTAGTGACTGACCACTAAAAACAATAAAATACACTTCAGTTCAGGTCACAATTCATGCTATTAACTACTTGCATATTACCTGCTAATTATTAAGATATTAACCGTTCATTAGTATTTATAAAGTATTATCTAATTCTACATCCCTGATCCTAAACCCAACTACTACCTTACTAAATTTTAATGAACGCTTAATTACTAGTTAATTAATCTAGTAGTGTTAGTTATTGATTTGTTGATACTGTGAATTGCGACCTAAGCGTGTTATCAAATAAACATATTGAAATGAAAAAAGTTTTGTACAAACAAGTTAAGACAAAGCAAAGAGATGTTTTGGATTCAATAGAATAGTACTTAGACTTTTATTAAAATAAATAAAAATGTATTAAAATACATTTGTAAAACAAAAAACAAAAACAAATGATTTTTTTTAAATCATAGAAATGTGTTTAAAATAAATAAATGTGTAAATTAATTCAATTCAGTACTCTGAAAATATACTTTTTAAAGTTTATTTGATTTTAATTTAATAAATAAAATGGAATAAAATTTAATTTCCGTAACTAATTTATATGTAATAGCATTGTTTTTGAGTAATATGTACCAGTTTTAAAGTATACTTATAATATACTTTGCAGTGCTCTGTTTCACGTACATTTTACTCATTGTAGCATAGACTTAAGTCAGTATAGTGTGCTTTACTTACAAGGGTAGATTTCTTGTTACATCTCTAATACATCTATCTATCTATCTATCTATCTGTCTGTCTGTCTGTCTGTCTGTCTGTCTGTCTGTCTGTCTGTCTGTCTGTCTGTCTGTCTGTCTGTCTGTCTGTCTATCAGTATTTTCTGTTTTCATTTTGAGTAGAAAATATACATCAGATATCATAAAGCAGCAAATTGCTACACCTAACAACAAAAGCAATGATAAAACAGAGTAAAATATAAAATGGCGATGCATGGGAACAACATTATCAAAAGTATAATATTCTTAAAATTTCGAACTTTGATTTCTACAAGTTTTAATGGAGTACTTTTTTATTCTTGCCTGAATTAAATTTTCTTTAACATAGAAATTAAATTAGATTTCTTTTTCGGTAGTACTGTACTTTCTCTATCGCATAATCATTTTTATAACAACTACAGTGTGTATTACAAAGAGTAATATAACAAAATAAAATCAACATATATTTTTAAACTATACTTTAGAATAAAGATTTTTTAATCTAAACTCATGCATTATGACACACTCTGCACTGCTTTATTTCTAAAACTATGACATCTAAAACAAAAAGACAAGATTATTTGAAATATATTTGGTTATTTTCATTTGACAAATGATTATGGCTGGTAAATCTGAATGTTCAACTTATTACAAAACCCCCACATTCTCTCCATCAACCTTTAATTACATTATCAGCTTTAACAGCAGCTGGATGAGTACGCAGCTGGAAATATTAAACAAAGGTGATTAGAAAAACTGATTATTGAATGCAGGCATTTTCTACTCGCACCAAAGCAAATCACACAAAATTAATTCATAAATATTTAACACCTGAAAATGCAGGCAATATACAGAGAGAATAATTGTGTCTAATTATGAACTGGAGACAATATTTCAAAATCATACATATTAAATGAAATATAGCACAATTAAGAGTCTCTCATATGAATCACTATGTTTTGTAAGCCGGGTTATGAAATAAATATATGAAATATTTCCTTAGCAAAAAGGTAAATAAAATATGTTTACCTTTATAACAATTTCTTTATTCAAATCAATAATATGTTTTATTATTTAAATTAACAAAATGTACATTTGTTTTATGTAAAAAAAAAACTTTAATAACCATAATTACAATTCAATTTTCTAAAGTTAATATCAAATTACATTCACAGAATGTTTAATATCTGCCAGTGAAAGATTTTGAGCTTCATGTTACCTATAAGCAATGAATGTCATCATGAAAAATGATCTAAAATAATTCACAGTAATGTATCAAAAAAGAAAATGGGTTTAGTTTTGATTTTATGTTTAGTTTAAACTCCACTAATCTGCCATTTAGACACAGCACAGGTTTCATACCATGAACAAATAATTGAACATTAATAGGATATTAAAAACTGAATGAGGAACAGAATGAAAAATGGAATAGAGGAACAGAAATGCAGATTGTTTATTCAATGTATGACATTTTAAACAACCATAAAATTGCTATGTTATGAAGTTTATTTTGAGTAGCTCTGCTGCAGAAAATGATGATGATGCTGAAAGTTAGTGGATAGAGAAGAATGAGACTAATGATTGATTGAAAGGAGCACAGATGCTGCACAGTCAGAGTATCTGATGTGAATATGGCCAGCACATACTGAGTCACACTGGAGCAGCTCTCAGAGCCAGGGGGCTTTGTAAATATGGATGTTGTGGATATGTTCTTATGAAGCACAAACAGATAGCTAAAACGATTCTAAAAATTCTAAAACGATCATTAAAATTGACTTTGAGTAGGCCCACATGATTTTTGTGCCCACAAAAATCTGAAGATTAGCACACATTTTTAGCCCGTCATTAAATCTATTTATTTATTTATGTAAATTTGTGTAAATACAGTTGGGGAAGTAAGTATTGAACACATCATCCTTTTTCACAGAAAACACATTTCTAAAAAGTGCTTTTGACTTGAAATTTTCACTGGATGTTGGTAACAACAAAAAGAAATACATTTATGTAAAGAAAACAAATCTAATTAGTGTACAAAATTAACTTATGTGAAATAAAATGAAATGACACTATTGAACACATGAAGAAAGGGAACTGTGGAAAGGCAGTGAAAGCCCAGACAGCAGCTGAAATCTCTCAGTAGTTATTTAGCAACCCTCTGCTCTTTGTTATTGTAAATTAGTATCAGCTGCTTCTGTCCAACATCTACATTATAAGGATGATGGGGATGAAACCAGGATGGAAATTTCAGCAAGACGATGATTTTAAAAACACAGCCAAGGAATCCCAAATGGTCTGAGAAAAAAAAAAAAATTACCTGTCCAATGGCCAAGCTAATCACCTGACTTGAATCCTATTCACCTTAGTCTCCGCCGACGAGTGGGCGCTGCCATTTGAATCTTTTTGGCTTGAGACTTCCGGTCTCATTTACTTCCATTCATTTTTTGACGTTAAAAACTGCTCATTACGCTGCTTGATGTTGCAATTTGATATTTTCTTATTATAATATTCTACTTGGTCTGTATAGTCATGCAAACATTTGTTTGTAGAGCAAGCAGTTTGACCATTTTCTGCCGTTTATTATTCCTAGTCACTTCTCCCATAGGCGACTGAATCAGAAGTTCTAAGACAATCGCGAAAACAGGCGCACTTCCGCATTTTAGAATAAGGTCAATAGAACAGGGGTGGCTAACCCTGTTCCTGGAGAGCCACCTTCCTGCAGATTTCAGTTGCTACCCATATCAAACACACCTGAACCAATTAACTAGGACCTGAACACCCCGTGATAATTGCAGGCAGGTGTTTTTGAAATGGGTTGCAACTAAAATCTGCAGAAAGGTGCCTCTCCAGGAACAGGGTTGGCCACCCCTGCAACAGAAAATACAAAATAAATATTAGATTTGATAGATGAGACCCACAGAATCATCAATATTTTTACACTCTGGTAAAGTCTGTGAAAAAAAAAATCACACCTGAGCAATGCATGTGACTTTACAGAGAGGCATCTTTAAACTGCCATCACCAAAAAAGCCCTTTATTAACTGTAAAGCATTAAATAAGTTTCAGTAGTTCAGTGCTTTCTCCTTTTGTCATTCAATTGTTATTACACATAACTCATTTTATGATTTATTTTTTTGTTTTGTTTTATGTATGTATTGTTTAGGTTTTTACCAAAATCTGGTTTTATTCCATGTCAACAGCTCCTTCAGAATGATTATTGCCAGGAAAAAAAAAAAAAAAAAAACATGACGTGTTTAATACTTATTTCCCCCACTGTTAATTTAACCATGGCTGCCTCTATATTAGTTTGTACCAATGTAGATGCATGATGTTGGCCAAACATTCAGTCAGTTGAAAAAAAGAGGCATAACTAGCCTATCAACTAAACTATACGGCAGGGGTCACCAGTCTTGGTCCTGGAGTGCCGGTGTCCCTGCAGGGATTTAGCTCCAACTTGCCTCAACACACCTGCCTCAGTGTTTCAAGTATACCTAGTAAGACCTTGATTAGCTTGTTCAGGTGTGTTTGATTAGGGTTGGGGCTAAAATCTGTTGGACATCAGCCCTCCAGGAACAAGTTTGGTGACCCCTGCTACAGTATAAGGGTTAAAAAAAGGCTTTTTTCTTTGTAAATTAGGTTTTTGTATTGACAGTCTAAAGTCAAATTAAACTATACTGTATATTTTATTAGACATGCTTGCGCATAAAAGTTAGAGTAAACAGTAAGTTTATTGGTGCAGCTATGCGAGCTTGTCCCTGTTCTGCTAAATTTACCGTATTATATCAAAGACAGATCGGCTTTGCTCACTGTTTGTTGAAATAGCCCATCACAGGTTCCTGTATGTCAAAATCCAATTAATATCCATAATAAGATTGATTGATAAATGAGATAGTTGAAATCAATATATACATTTGGCTTAATGAAGGCATGTACTGTATTATACAATCTACAAAAAAGTAGACCCCCACAATAATTACTGCATAATTTGCACACAAAAAGGACTAGTTGAAAAGTTATTTAAGTTTTGGAACACAACATTATCCATAGAGCCACTTAAGTGACATGGAATGTTTTGGCAATGTTTTTAGGTTCCTTTTCTATACTTTGAATGTATTGGCACCATTCATGTCTATGGAGGATGAGGGAGCTCTCAAATGTCATATAAATTATCTTAATTTGTGCTCCATTGATGAATGAATTGCATTTCAGGGGACTGAAATGACATAAGGGTGAGTAATTAATAAAATATTTTTTGGATGAACTAACTCTTTAATGTGCATTGCATTCCTAAATGTCTAAAGCACTTTACAATCATATGAGGGGGTATCCTTACCATACTCTACCTATTTTATCCACTCACCACACAACAACTATGAGTGGAATGAAGAGTCAGTGGTATTAGGTCCTTCTTAGTGTTTCTACCTGACGCTTAAAAAAACACAATCAAGCATTGTTTAAAAAATTAATCTGCTCCTCATAAACAAATAAACAAATGCATAATGTAGTCTATAGATTATAGAATTCTCACATCCCTCTGGGAACATTACACTTTAGCCAAAATACCAGACACACTGGACTGTTGTACATGTCAAATAATCTATTGCAGGCTTAATGTGGTGGCCGTGAAGGGTTTTTTGTTTTCTCTCTGCAACCCTTGCAGGCAAACACAGGACAGGTGTCTGATCACAGCCACATCCTCTTGGATTAGCTGTGATTCTGCACAGTTTCCCTGGAGCAACAGGGGTTTAATCTGCATGTAAGTAATTAAAGCATCATTAAAATGTTTTGGCCCTGCAGAACTGCTAATTTTACAGATAAATATGTTTAAAATCCTGTACACTCACTTGTTTAAAGAAGATCTTGTCTATACCAAAAAGAAAATATTCAATGTATGAAAAAATTAACAAACAAAGAGGAATATATAATATAATATAATATAATATAATATAATATAATATAATATAATATAATATAATATAATATAATGACAAAGGCCGAAGCAGTGGCGCAGTAGGTATTATAATTATTATAATATTAATGTAATCACAGGTATATGTCTCTATTGTTAGGGTTCTGCCATCCTGGTCTTGTAAATTCTTGTTTTGGTAACAGGGTCCAGACACTAGCTCTGTCTTGTCCTGTTTCTGTCATTGTGTGTGTCTCTGAGCGCCATTTGTGAACACGCTTAGACCGTGCACGTTCCCTCTTGATGTGGGCGTGTGAGATCTGTGCGTGTTTGCAATTGCGCGCTCTCATCTGGGTGTTCACGTTCGTCTGTCTGTGAGTGTTTTCATTCATCGTGTACTCGTGTCTCACGTTCAGTCTTCTGTTTGTGTTGTGTTTAACAAGTGGTGCATGTTTACATGTTTACATATACTGCGTGCTTGTGTTGTCATGAACACGCGGTTAATGAGTTCTCTGCGTGTTCTAGTCTCGTTTTATGTGAGCGCATGGCTTGTGTTGTCTCTTTGTGTCATGTGATCCCCGGTCTATTATCTAGTCCCACCCTCCTTCTTAACCCATTATTAGTTCATTACGTTCATCTGTTTGCTTGTTAACTTATTTCTGCTTATATTCTCCTCATGTCTGCTGTCCTGTGCCAGTCGTTTGTAGCCCTGTCTGTCTGTCCAGCCCTGATCCCTACCAGTCTGCCCAGTGAAGTTTGTTTGTGTGTTTTGTTAATGTTTTCCCCCTTTTATTTGCCTTTTATTTTTATTAATAAATACCCATTATTTGCTGCACCTGAGTCCTCGCTCCTTTTCCCTACACAAACCGTGACATTTATAGATATTTACAATGCATTTGAACATGGCTCAACTGATCATTCATCAATGACCAATATCATACATTTCACAAAAACACAGTGAGGTTGTCAACATGGACTAGTGATAATGATATTTTGGGAGCAGGAATAATATGTGTCTATTTATATATAATGCTTGTGTAACAAGTATAATGTATTTTTTTGACGTACAATGATGAACAATTATCAAATAATAATGCCTATAGTGCAAGTGTTTTGAGCATTTATGGTAAGTTTTGGTAAAAAACAAACTGAAAATCAAGGTATTACTTAAGAACATTCCTGAGGAGGACTGTACATTCAGAAAACTCTAATAACAAATAATTCACTTTGCACAGGAAAAAAAAAAACATGCAGCTTTTGGTGAATAGAGATTAATAAAATATAAAAGATAATGCCCTTAAAACTGCAAATCAAATAATAGCTATAGTATGGAGTTGTAGTGTACAGTCCACAGATAAAATTTCTTATGGATTTTATCACGGTCTGGTTTTGGTCGACAGAAGGTTTTACGACTCCTGGCTCCAAGAAGTCTGGATTTTCGTGACAGCTTAAGTTGTTTAGGGGGACTGGAGAGATAAGCAGGAAAACTTCAAAGACATTCCTGCCCAAATACACACACACACACACACACCCCCACGAGGCTGTTCTGACAGAAAGAAAATGCACTCAGAAATCCTGAAACAGCACAAAACTAAAGTGTTATGTTTTGTAAACTTTGTACCTCATTTCTGAGTTTTCTTACCTGTGTAACCTCTCTTATAACCTGTATGCCTGTGCCTTTTAGGCCTTTTTGTAGCATAAATATTATGAGGATGTGAAAAATTATGTCGATGTACTTTTAAAACCCCCATGTTTGGTACCGATGGGTTTCTGCTGACATTTTACAGCACATGATGCATAGAGCAAGATCATAACTAGCATTGCTTTATTCTTTAATCCCCTGTATTAAATGCCTGTCCGCATGCTTTGGGCGGACACTCAAATTTGCATACGAGGAGCCTCGAGACAAAGAAAGGGTTCGCGCGCAAACTTTCCCCTGAAATCATTGGTCAGAATGCTATACGGGTTGTCACGTGACCCGCAGGTATAAGCACACTTCCCCCCAAACATCTGGTCAGAAAGAGAACGTCCTAAAAAGGAACATCATTGACGGTGGCCCTCGGGCCACACGTTGCTTTCTAAGCCGCATGGACTTTTTCCCGCCACGCTTTCTTTATTTTCCGGCAAAGTAAATTCAGTCTAAAGTTTGCGATCGTGTTTGTCCGAACTGCATTACAAACTCCACGCATCAAAGGACATCAAGAGTAGTTTTAATCACGACGGAAGAGAGACGCATAAGAGAGACCTCCAGACATGAAAGACCAGGTGATTTTAGTCATGCGATTAAGCTGTGCCCCTTTTATCAAAAAGGTGTGTTTTATAACCTTGGTGGTCCTTAATGGTGCGTGTAGAACTGAAAGTTTTGTCACTCTTTTATCTGAAATCTATCTTTCCTAGCTTTACTATTTCTCTTTGCTGTTACACGTTCTATAGACCCGATATCTCCACGTGGTTTACCTTTGTTTTGTGTTTAATGTATGTTTGTGCGTTTGTTTGTTACGTCTGACTAGTCAATAAATTCCATTATAATAAAATGAATTGTATTGTTTGCCTCACGAGAAAATGTCACTGAAATACAGATTCCCCTGCCTAGCTATTATAAGTTGTTTAAAACTTTTGAATGATTAATCTACTTCACAAGAAGTAGCAATTAAATTCCCTATTTCTAAATGAAAAGATTACCATGTCCGCTCGGAAGAGCAGCGGCTCTGCTTGTGTTCGTTTGGTCAAATTAACAATAAATTGACCCGGAATATTTATGGTTAATAATAATTCGTTATTGTTGATAATTAATATTCATAATCTGGTAATCCGCTCGGTCGCGCGAGCATGATCATATAGCTACAATCATATGTTTGTTTGACCAAACTGACTGAAGCTTAAGCCGGAATATTAATAATTAAGAACAAACCGTTATTGTTGATTATTAATATTCATAAAATGAGCTAATTTCATGTTACAGAGTTAAATATTTATCTCATAATGACAGTTCATCTGTTAACTGTGACTGTTCTGGAAATTTTCAACCATACAATTACAAGTTTGTTAATTGTTTATAGGCATTGTTTCAATGCAATAATTTGCTGTTGAGATAAACACATCAAAAACATTTACCACATGACTCAATATAAAATTTTGTGTGAGCTATCCCTTTAAAAGTCTGTTAGTTTTAAGGTTAGTTTCAGTCTGTTAGTTTTAAGGATATCTATAAGCTAGTGTGCTACAAAACAGTGAAAAAATTCACGTTTACAAAATAAAAACTGATATAAACATATAATGTTTGTAGAATGTAAATTTCCGCCGTCACCTCTTGACTAATCAAATGCTCTCTAGTATCTTCAAGACACTTCTCATTTGCTCTTCATTTGATGCGCTTTATCTCAACCACTTTCACTGGCAGAACTGTGATAAAAAACAAAATGCTATTGTCTTTTTTTTTTTTAAAGGGAGGAGCTACACTTTGTCCTACCCTCTCTAAATTGTTCATTTGAGATTACGTAAAACATCCACATTTCAAAGTCCTTTATAGGATCTTTAATAACATTTTGAGAGGGGCATTATTGATGTTTTAATTCTGCGGAATAAAACATTCTTTCAGTCATATAATGAAAAATAGGATTCTGGAGTCATTTCTGGGTGGCACTGCAATTATAATATAACAAAGATAATACTCACTTGTTGCTGAGCAGGATGCACACAGCTTCCATCACAGTCATCACGAGGTCTGGTGGTTTGGTAAAGACGCGCATTTCTGAAATGTCAGCTTTGTCAAGGGCATTGAGGGCCTTATTGGCGCTGTCGAGTGCAGGCAGAGCCTCATCCAAGTCACGCTGTGCATCATCTGCAATGGCTTGAGTCTCTTCTGCCTTTACCTTAGCCAAAGCTTCATCCTCTTTCACAACCCTACGCACCTACACATCAAGAGGTCAACAAGAGCAAATGCTAATGGGCAGGAGATTTTGTATAATCAAGAACAAAACTGAAATTTTGTTTTGGCACTTATATCACTGTCCTCTTATTGTTCAGAGTGCCTCTGTTTGTGTGGCTTTATTTGCTTGTTGTGTCATATACATATATGAATATTATTTATTATATTTATTTAGGTATACAGTATTCATAACTAAGTGGGAAGTACGGACTTGTGAGGACAATGTTCTTGAAGTGCAAAGAGAAAAGCAATTATACAACATATTATGAAGAAGAGACTTCAACTATGATAACTAATGTTCACTCACAGAATCAGACTCTGCTGCTTTTTATGTTGTGCAATTCCCGTTATGAATTATGATTACACTTGGTTCACTGGTCTGTTGGGTTTCATTGCTTTCTCACCTCATATGAACCATAAGCCACTACAAATTTAATTTTAATAGGTCAATTTTTAGTCAGATCCCTTTTTTTTGTGAAGTTTCACAAACTAATTTCAAGAGGAGCACGGGATATGATTAATCACAGCTGGTCTTGCATCCATAATCATAAGTAAGCCAATCGGATTAATCCAAACCCACTATAAATAGCCTGTCTAAAATAACTCCCTTATCTTTGTTTTCCGAAGAATACACCCATTCACCCCATCTCGCCCCTTTCCTCCTTTACCCAGGGGAAACCTCAAGAACTACCTGATCTTGTACCCCCTTACATGCTTTTCGACCAGACGGGAGACCTGAGCTCAAGGTTCTCTTCCAGCACAGCATGTTAAACCTGCTAATATCATCAAGCATTATCTAAGTGTGAAATCTTGAATTGCATTTCAGAGTGCGAGTTCCATGTTCAAAACTAAATAGACCAAACTAAGGAATTAAATGCACCAGACAATCCCTCCAAACAAGCCATGCATGAAAAAGACAACTCTAAGTTTGGAAGTTCCTGTAAAAAAAAAAAGGGAGCGGTTGTATTTTTAATAGTACACACCTGATCCGCGTTTTCTTGGTCCACGGCAAGTTTCTCCATAAGAGCACTGACATCGATTGATTTCTGCGCAAGCACTGGCTCCAGAGCCGAGAGGTCTTGCTTCATCTTATCAACCAGCTCATTTGTCTCCAGCAATTTAGTTAGACCATTTTTGATGCGGTCTCGTGCCTGTGTAGATCAAAGCACATTGCATTTCCAAGTCTTGCTTAAGCAAAATTGCTTATTTTAATATAGATGCTTTTATCTAACAAAAAAATGATTGACATTCATTATTTCAATGTTCAACTTTTTAAATTAAATTTTATTACAAAAATTCAGTTGAAACCCAGGCTCATTCTGAAAACGTACCGCTATATACAATTCTAGGGAGCACCAAATTCATCCTGGGAGGTTTTTTTTTTTTTTCTTTTTTTTTCTTTTTTTGTTTTCACGAATCCACCACACCGATGTGTACGCGTTTTGAGAGCTCATATTTCTCTCGCAAGAGCCACCTTTTCTCGTGTAAATCCACCAGAGGCCACTGTCGGCTGACTGAATGACTGACTGTCTGATCAACTGACCCATTGTCCTCCTTCCCTAAACCCAACCGATAGTGTTTTCAAAAGCACAAATTGGAACCATTCTTCACCAGACTCAAACCCCTTTGTGGTAGTCAACTCTTCTCTGTGTGTCAAGTTCACCGATGTACATGGTGAGCTAACTGGACAAACTGGTAACAACAGGAAAGCCATGCACACTAAGGTAATCGGTCAGCTGGTAAGCGCGAAAAGGAACAGCGTTATACCATCCCATAGAATTCATTTAATGTAGAAATGCAGCCATACGTACTTTGGCTACATAATTCGCAATCTCCAGAAAAGTATACTGTATACGGCTATGTTTTGAGAATGACCCTGTGTTTGTTAATATGGTGCTGGTCTGAAACACTGGTGGCCATTTAAGCCTGGTTTATACTTCTGCGTCAAGTGACCGGCGTAACCCACGGCGCATGCAACGCGCGTAGCTGTGCAATTATACTTCTGCGCGGTGTCTCTGTTGGTCTGCATTAACACTTCCGAAACGCTAGTTGGCAGTGAGGTGTAAATGTTCCTCTGTGTCGAGTTTCTTCGCTGCTGTTTTGCTTTTCCTGAACACTTCCGGGATGTTCAAGTGGCTCAAACTCGCTCATTTTAAGGCAGGAACCGGCGAACGTGCAACAACTTTAACTATGAGGTAAACACAAAACAAAACTTTCCATCCGGAGCTCCTTCACGGGACTCCACACTTGTAAACAATCGCTCCATCAGGCTCACACCATTCACGCGGCTCTCAGTCCCGCCCAGACTCGTCAGCGCTACCAAGCCGACCAATCACAGAGCTTGCGCTACGCGTCGTTGCCACGTGTAGTTACATTTTTTGAAAGGTGCACATCAGCGACGCTGACGGCCACGGCGAAGGGCTATGCGTCAGCGCCGTAGCATACGCCGGCGTTTGACGCAGAAGTATAAATCAGCCTTTAGTGAACTGCAGCCTTCCAATTTGCACTAATGCACACATACAAGAGATACAATGGGATCAAAGTCCCTTTCAAGGAAAGTCTATCAACTCAGCGCCAACATTTGCAACATCTCTGGGCAGTTCATTCAAAACCAAGTCTTATCTAAATAGTTTGGGGAATACAGAAATCTTAAAAACTTGTTTGTTATCCTGAAAAAAAGGAGGTCTCGTTTATAAAATGTTGTATTGCAAGCGGTTCACACTTTGTCCATTAATAACAGCTAATACAAGAACATTTCTACATATAGCCCCTTTAAGTAACGGTGTAACAACATAAGAGACTAATGCATTATCCATCACTCATCCTCACCGCCTGCAGCTGTTGTCTCTTTTCTCCCAGCATGCCCAGGTACAGGTTAATGAGCTCCAAATAGGAGGTCGGTGTGGTGTAGTAGTGTCTCCTTAGTTCTGAGTAAAAACGCTCAGCCATGTCAGTCACACTAACATGAATCTCCACACACATCTCTGAAAAGCACTGCTTCATCTCCTCACTGCCAAACTCCACATTCTGGAAGAAGGTCTGAGACACAGATAGCAGAGCTTCACGGGGCCACTGAAAAATAAACCCAAGAAACAGAAAATGACTGCAATGTAACAAACACAACACATAGTAAAAAGCACATATCAATTGTTTATCATTAGCATAATACTGAAAGTATTTTTTATTTAACCCTTGTGTGCTGTTGAGGATGTTGTCATCCACTCTGGAGTGATTTTGAGTCTTAATTTGTACACAACTTTCTCTGTGTTTCAGCAAATGCAATCATTTTTGATGAAAAATCTTATTTTAACACATCATTTGTGTTAACACAATGCTTTGAAAACCTTCAAAAACTCAATTCACTCTGGACAAACTTACTACCCTTTTATTATGTTTGAGACTGTTCTTGCCGCACTGACTACTAACGACTAACGACTAAAAACTCAACTATTTAGTCTCCACTACACCTCCTAATCTGCAATTGCCTCTCTGAATATCACACTAACTGTACCAAAAAAAAATAAAAAAAAATACTAATACGACCAATACTTCCCTTCTTAGACTTTACAGACCTGAAACTTGCCTATAGCACTTATTCATTGTTGCTCTTGGTTGTGTAAATTGCTTCCTTGTCCTCATTTGTAAGTCGCTTTGGATAAAAGCGTCTGCTAAATGACTAAATGTAAATGTAAATGTAACAGTAAAAATTACATATTTTACCTCTTCCTATAACAGGGAAAACTGCCATTAATTAAGAATGCACGATTAAGAATTACAAAAATGTGGTTATAATAAAAGTCAATGGGGCAAAAACAGCTACGACCATAACTGTTATGGTCACCAGCCACTGCGGATCACTGGAGAACTACAAATGCACTAAAAATCACAGCATGCACCATGCACACACACCGGTTCCTAATCTCGTCTGATTGCAAACACTCACAGCTGAAGCTGCTCAAGGATTCATTACACAGACTATTTATACACCACATTTGCTCAAACACATTGCTGAGTGTTGTTTGTTTGTTTTCTTAGTTAAAAAGAACCTGTAACTTTACGTAGCATTTCCATTTCCTTGTTTAGCCATGTTCTTTGAATCTAGTGTTTTAAGTTATCTATTCCTAGCCTTGTTCCTAGTTTATCTTACCTTTCTCCAGTTTTGACTACTTGCCTGTTTATCGATGATGATTTCTGGATTATCTAAATCAGGGGTGCTCAATCCTGTTCCTGGAAATCTACCTTCCTGTACAGTTTAGCTCCTACCCTGATCAAACCCACCTGAACCAATTAATTAGGACCTGAAATCCACTTGATAATTACAGACAGGTGTGTTTGATAAGGGTTGCAACTGAAATCTGCAGGAAGGTAGATCTCCTGGACCTGTTGACCCTGTTGACCCTTGCCTGATTTACGATCATTGTAAACAAATCTGCATTTGGATTCCAAGCTCAGTTAAAGCCTCCTTCAGTTACAATAACGAAAGAGTAGTCAATTTGAACAATACAAAGGGTTAAAATTGGTAACACTTTATTTTGATGGTCCATCCGAGTATTGGTAGACTGTCTGCTTAATATTTGTTGATACTGCTCCTTCATCAGACATTTAACTAACTCTGGAAAAACTTTTTAAGTACATGTCAACTTACACTAACGCTAACCCCAACCCTAACCCCAACCTAACAGTTTACTTATAATCTTAAGAGAATTAGTTGACATGCAGATGTAATGCAACAAACGAACCATAAAAATAAAGTATTTCAATTAATATTAATATTAATATTTTAATATAAATAAGAGATTAAAATTTTGGGTACACTAGTCCCTTAAATAATTATATATATATATATATATATATATATATATATATATATATATATATATATATATATATATATATATATATATATATATATATATATATATATATATATATATATATATATATATATATATATATATATATATATATATATATATATTTATTTATTTATTTATTTATTTTTTTATAATAATAATTCAATTTTTCGACTTTTTATTTAACATATCACCTTCCACAAACCATGTACAAAAATAGCATGCAGGTTATGCATAAGATATTGTAATAGACTATTCTTACATTCATTCAGCAAGAACAAAAGCGGTCACCTTGAAATATGTGGGGCGGTTGGAAGTGTGTGTTTGTATGCACAAGTAAACAACATGCGCTGATGGAAACAAGCAAATAAAAGCAGGATGAACAGACATACTGGCTCACTGTTTAACGCTAATGAGCAGCTGCAGTTGGCCAGAGTAGAGCCATACATCAGACCCAAACATAACACTGTAACAGACAACACAACTAAGGAAACACACACTCTACATGCAACACACACACACACACACACACACACACACACACACATTTTATGGTAATTAGAAAAACCCCTGGTTCTACCCGACAGCTCACAGAGGTCAGTCAGTGTGCACCTCATTAGATAACAGAATGAAACAAATGAATGAAGGCTAAAATTGATTGAATGATTGAGGCATTTATTTTATATTATCTAGCTGTCCAATTGTTTTGTTAAGCTAAGCTTGATACACTAAAATAACTGAACAATAATAAATATGGAATATGGTAATACAATTTCAGCTTTTTAACTTTAGTTCAATGCAAAGGGAGAGATTGTCTTTTAAATATTATAAAATAGCAAAGTCTGCAGAGAAAGGCAGGCAGAGGACTTGTATTATTGCCCCCAGAAGCACACAACAAACAAAGGCTTAAAAAAAATTCACAACACCCAGCAAACTAATTTTTGTTTAATAGTTGTCTAATAGACAACTAAACCTAGACGGCTTGACTAAAACAAGGCAAAAGTTTAGCTGTCAGTGAAAATGTAATAGACATCTAAGAATAACCCAAAACTAGACTACTCGTCAAATAGACAGATTAGACAGACTTTATACTGTATGTGTAGTCATTCATTTCTGTTTATTTGACAACTAGTCTAGTTTGGGTCTATTTTTAGATGTCTATTAGATTTACACTGACAGCCCAAATTTAGCTTTGTTTTAGCCAAGACAACTACGTTTAGATGTCTATAAGACATCAATTAGACATCGTTTAAAAACAAAAAATGCTTGCTGGGTATCCTCCCTTTAAACAAGTAAAGAAAAATTATTGACATATGATGATTATTTTAAAAGATTAAAATAAAAAATAATTATGTAAAATTCTTTAAAAAAATAAGTGATTGAAATAACTTTTAGTAAACTACCAGTACTTGAAAAGCACTTAAAAGTGTTCCAATGTCAAAATGTTAAATAAATCAAATTTAGACTAATTTATATAAAAAAAAAATTATATATAAAAATTTACATCCCTCCCAGGCCCTGATTGGCCAATTGGGAGGACCGGGAGAGTTCACAGTGGGCCGGTCCGTTTTTTGGCCGCGAGGGCCAGTGTTTCTAGCTGCTGACACTCTCAGCAGTCGCACTTTTTTAATATGTATTTATTATTTAGCCTCACTCTTTTTATTCATTATTTTGCCACAGCTCCGCTCTTCTTATTTATAGTTTCGCAGCCCTGTAAGCAAAATGCAGCCTGCAGGGTAATGATGATGTAACTATCATACCGGCCACATAGAGTAACAGCGCCATTGTGGTCCAGTGGTCAGCACGTTGCGTTGCGACATTGTCGATCCGTGTTCGATCCACACCTTAGTAATTTTTTTTTTTCATTTTTATTATTAAATCATATAAAACTGTAAGGTTGTTTAACATTTGAAGTTCTAAAGCAGCTGTTTTCTTGGAAAAGACGTAATAATAAAAGATAGACGTAAAAGATAGTGTAATTAGAAACTTAATTGGAAATTACCTTATTTTAAAATAGTCAGTAGTGAACTGAGGTGGGCCGGTCTAATGCTTGAAACTCCAGGGCTGAAAAGGAGTCCCACTTCGGCCCTGATCCCTCCCCTGCCGTCCAAAGCCACACCTTCTTAAGTCATGAACGGCAAATGCGCACTGAATAGATGATGATCTGTTGACGATAGTCAACCATATATACCAGTAGATCATGTCATTCACCAGTTAGAAAACTCTATGGAGACACGCACCTTGTCTGGTTGTTGACAGGCCTTGTAAAGAGACTTTTAACCAGCACAACAAAAAATGTGTCTGAAGACAATCACCACAATCACCACTGAAGACAATTTATCATATTTTTTTCCATACTAGATCAATTATTAATTTATTCATTCATTCATTAGTTCATTCATTTTCTTTTGTCTTAGTCTCTGTTTCAGAGGTCGACACAGAGGAATGCACCAACTATGCCTACATATGTTTTATGAAGCGGATGCTCTTCCAGCCGCAACCCAGTACTGAGAAACACATACTCTTACATTTACACACACACTTATACACTACGACCAATTTAGTTTTATTCAATTCACTTACAGCGCATGTCTTTTGAATTGTGGGAAACCCATGCAAACACTCCACACGGAAATGCGTGGCCCAGCCGGAACTCTAATCAGCGACCGTCTTTCTGTGGGGCGACAGTGCTATCAACTAAGCCACAGTGCTGGTAGTTACGTTTGACTACCATCAAATATAGCTTTTAAAGGGTATAATGAAGATGAAATGACATAATGAAGATAATATTTAAAAAAGCATACTATAATAGAACACATTTTTCTTTATCCATCCATATAACCAACAATATAACTGCTCTATATTAACTAAATGAATGTTGTAAATGATCTCTTAGAAATGTTACTTTAGACAATGCAGTTAATTATATTAGTATTTCATTTGTCTGTTTCATTGTCTTATTTTAACAAATTCCTCTCCGTCTCTCTCAGGACCTGAAGAGGATAAAATCACACTGATACGTCTTTAGACTTTGACCAAATCAGCTACTGAAAAAACCTTTGTCCCAGCTATGATTTCTGCGAAAATAGAAAACTGAAACGATGAAATTACAGTGAGTGAAATACATGACAAAAAGAAGTTGAGCATGAGTATTGAGCTTGAATGATAGCTGCTCCTTATCATCAAGGTGTACGACTGCCTGTGTGGCATAAGTGTCTCTTTAAAATGTATATTAGGGACTTGGGTAGTCAATCCTAGACAGATTGGCTCTAGAAACAGATCCACAATGCTGGCGTGCCCCTTAAGTAGTTGGGATGATTTGAAGACACATTTGTGTATTCTTCTGCAATGCAGTTTGTTTGGTAATCGTTTCATTTCAAACCTTTACAGCTAATGCTGAATGCTGCTCTTTTAAAATAACATTTTAAAATGACCTAATGCTGGGTTCACACAAAGGCCCTTTAAGGCAAATAATTTCACTTAGATTAATAGGTTTAATATGCATAATTGTGGCTACTGTTAAAATGATAGTTGTGATTTATTAATTTTTTAATCGAATTCTGAACCATCATTTGACATTAAATACTGGATTTACTGTTTTGGCTTCTTGATTTCTTTTCATATTTTGGCTTCTTGATTTCATGCATGACACAATTCAGGTGGCTGCCAGGATTTCTATTTTCTTTCTCATTGCTTATAGAGAAACATACAAAAAATTATTTGTGCCCACTGACTGTGCCAGTTTTGTTATGCCGTCTGTTGTTGTTTTAGTACAAAGTTCACTATAAACATTAAACAAATCAAGCAAATTTGTGACAAATACTATTTGCATGACACTACTGCCCATTTTGCAGGCTGTTTAAAACTCTGCTCACCACCTGTTCTGTGTAAATGGCACTGATTTTTTTAACAAGTCACAATCTGTAATAAGCCATTACGTGCTGTGCCTGTTTACATTTAAATTAAATCACTGTCACCGCTTTTAGTGCACACGTTTCCTCTCTCTGAAAAAGATGAAACGCGTGTTCCATAAAGAATAACAATGACTTCATTTAAATGTGCAGAAGCACAACATATGACTTATTACTAATTATTATTCACAAAAATATGCATAGTAAAGCACTATTCAAATGCATACGGCGGCTGGATATGTTTGATAGGCACATGGGTGTGCAGGTGCGGCAAATCAGTGGGATAGTTTTTAATTAATTTTACAAAAATGAGAAATGAAGAGGAAGTCTGACCTGTACAAACCAGTCGATGGTGCAGCAGTTTACTAGAGATGGGAACATGCGGCATCGTGAGCGGAAGGAGTCTCCCACAGGGCTCATACACAACACTATGTGCAGCTTCTCACGCACACGAGTGATAAAGAACTGGTAAACCTTGACACGAAAAGACACAAACAGACATGAGACAACTGGCATCTGAAGAAAATCATAGAGTAGATAAAATACAGTTGAAAGCAAAATGATTAGCCCTTCTGGGAAATTTCAAAAAAGTAATGTTTAACAGCGTACAGTGGCTCAGTGGTTAGCACTGTCACCTCACAGCAAGAAGGTTGCAGGTTCGAGTTCTGGCTAAGACAGTTGTCTGTGTGGAGTTTGTCTGTTCTCCCTGTGTTTATGTAGGTTTCCTCCGGGAGCTCAGGTTTCTCCCCCCGGCCCATAGACATGATGTATAGGTGAATTGATTTAACTAAATTGACCGTAGTGTATAAGTGTGTGTGTGTGTGTGTGTGTGTGTGTGTGTGTGTGTGTGTGTGTGTGTGTGCGTGTGTGTGTGTGTAAATGACTATTTATGGATGTTTCCAAATACTGGGTTGCAGCTGGAAGGGCATCAACTGATTAAAACATATGCTGGAATAGTTCGCGGGTAATTCTGCTGTGGTGACCTCTGAAATAGAGACTAAACTGAAGTAAAATTAATAAATGTTTAACAGAGCAAAAACATTTTGACAGTATTTACTATTATTTAATTTTACTTCTGGAGAATTTAATTTCTTATAATTTAACTGGAATAAAAGCATTTATATTTGTATATATATTTTATTTTATTTTATTTTTTTTTTAGTATTATTATTAACCCCCTTAAAATTTTTACTCATTTTTGGCAACAGAATAAACCAGAGTTGTCCAATGACTTGCCAAAATTAACCAAACCTGACCAGGTAAGTTTAGTTTAGTTTATTTATTTATAAAGCGCAATAAAACAACAATTTTTGACTATTTTGCTGTATAAATCTAAAAGCAAATTATCAAAAAATAGACAGCAACAGATAAAACAACATAGAATACATCCAACATACCACACAGCATCAACGATAAATAACAAGACACCAGGGGCCTCATGTATCAACGCTGCGTACGCACAAAAACTTTGCGTACGCCAGGTTTCACGCTCAGAATCGCTCACATTTGGATTTACTAACGATGAAATGAACGTGGGAATGTGCGCAGCTCCACGCCAGCTTCATGGCTGGCGTACGCACATTTTTTGTAGGTATCTGTTTTATTTCCATTGGCGACTCCTAGAGGCAGTTGTGTTAAATTGCACTCTACAAAGTGTCTTTGAGCCGTGCAAAGGCAGCTGTATGAGACAGGTTCATCTAGCAGGTATATAAGGTTTCCATACCATGCAGTTGACCAGCCAAACATTAAAGCAGCACTTGGGAAACATTTATAAAAAAGAATAAAAATTTCACAGGAGGAATCGTGTTTTAGCCTTCAACTGTACTTTATAGTGATGTTTTGCACTGAGATGCATTTGTTATGTTGCAAGATTGAATGGTTACAGGTTGTACCATGTACCTCATCCCTGTTTCCCTCAGAGATGCCAGCTTCTTTGGCCTTGGGGCTAATGGCAGCCAGCACCTGTTTTAACTCATCCTTCTCAAAGAGGTTCGGTACTTCACCAGAGTTCAGCATGTTGTTAATGTCCTCCAGGAATTCTTCCACCACAATCTACAACAGACAGAGAAGAGAAAAATATGTTATTGTTTGATCGACAAGAAAATCACTACCAATGCACAAAGATGACAAACCTGGTATACCTTGAGACAAATATGTTTTCAATATGTTAATTTTCACATCAGATACTAGAAAAGTATGATTTTCGGTTCACCAAGACTTATAGTATTTTATCACTTAAAGCACGGGCTAACAGTTTTATCAGATTTCTTTGAGTATATTCAAAGGCTAGCTTTTTTCATTAGTCATTGCTGAAATCTATTCTATTGGTATCTATTGGTATTGATGTTAAACATGGTCTGAAAAATTTAATTAGTGATATCAAGTTTTTGTTAAATCTCAAACAAAACAGGTGATACTAATGCACCTCAAAGCTGACTGCCACAAATCTATG